CAAATCATAACAAAGCTCTTAACAGTGAGAGAATTGTATTGTTTCTCTCATGGCTTCGCCTCTGGCCTTTCAGGATCATTTCACCATGCAGGAGTCTGTGTGTGTCGGTACGGGACAGCTGCGCCCCCATCATGAACTGCTACGGTTACCCCTGGCCTAGAATACTACAATGCGACCAGTTTCCCAAAGACCACCTAATGTGCATTTCCTCAGTTGCGCATATGCAAAACGGCACCAGCAATGACGGCCGAGGTAAACGGAGATCTTTCTTTTTTTAACATACATATTTTCTCAAAGCAATGCAGCAGGGTTTTCTCCGTCAAACTGATTTTTATGGTTGGTTTCAGTGGTGCCGCGTGCGAGCTGCACAGACTGTGAGCTGGAGGAGGCCACGTCATCCAAAGACCTGCTCGACCTCTTCTGTAAAAGTGACTTTGGTAAGAAACTCTACTTTTTGCTCGTTCAGAACAACCATAAATTGTTAAAGTGCCCCTATTATGGGTTATGAAAGGTTCATATTTTGGTTTTGGGAGTGTCCAACAACAGGTTGACATGCATGCAAGCTCAAAAAACATTTTCATTGTCTTTTCCAAACCCCTCTTTTGCGTGACGCGAATCTGCGGTGATTGGTCGGTCGATTGGTCTCATTTCCATTTCATCATGCCTGCAATGCCTGATAAAGCAGCGTTTGTGAGCGCAGTGCTGCTTTGTGTACAGCATTACTGGGGAAACAGCTATTTTTACCGCTCCAAAAGCGCACCTAGTGGCAAAGAATGAATTAGTATTTTCATTCAGACCAACGAGAAAAGACCAACAAGTGGGCGGCAATATGCTAATGTTTCATTTTGAGGTCAACATGGGATTCGTTTTAAAAACGACTTGTTTCAATGATTCAGAGTCGACTCTTTCTTTTGAGAGACAACTTTATATACGGTGCACTTTCAGATTTAAAACTTTGCAGGATGTTTTCAATCACTTAGAGCTGCTGTGTTACACACTGCATGAAAGGTAACTTTCAAAAATCCATAATAGGGGCACTTTAATCCTGAAAATTCCTCTCTCTTTCTCTCTCTCTGCTAGTGGTTAAAGTGCGTCTATCCAAGCTGAACTCCAGTAGTTCTGTCCTGACGATGTTCTCCCTGGGCTCTCGGCTGGAGGTCCTAAAGCACGGCCCGCTGCTGGGAGGGGAAATGAGGAGTCGTCTGACGCTGTGGCTGGAGCGGGACGCCACCTGCGTGGGCAACCTGACCCGCAACCATCCCGACGGGGGAGCCTTCCTGCTGCCGGGCACTGT